AGAACAGTATATTAGCAGCAAGTCTGGTCACCTAAAAGTAGGAGTCTGCAGGGATAGCTCCCAGTTCAAGGGCCAGATTCAGGTTCAGAAGAGTCTTCTGAGTGTCCCATCATTGCCTTGACTTGACTTAGGCCTTCCTCCGCAAAAACCTGAGCAGGTCTTTAACTCAACCATTAACTTTCTAGCAACTCAGTTGCCTCTAGGTTGCAACACCCAGTGCCTAGGCAGCTGAGGGAATAAGTAGTTTGAACTTATTAGGGCAGACAGCACTTCCTCCAAGTGATGGTGCTGTATTTTATTAATAACACGTTATCCAGCTTTATACCCTAATTGCTGCCTCTGAGCCAGAAGCAGTAAAGGAGGGCAATGCTGCTCTCCATGCTGGGCTTTTCCCTGGTAGCCATTGTGTACTTTGCACTTAAGGCAGTGGGCACAAAACAGAAAAAGCACTTCTAAAAAGAAGTTTGTTGGCCTTGAGTAGGGGGGCTTTCCAGTCACTAAGCTAATACTCTCTGAAGGGAAAGGTAAAGCAGGACAGCATCTTAACAGTGCTTCTGGATGTCAAGGCCAAAATCTTTTGTCACAATTTTTAATATGTAGGCCGTGCATCTTGCAAAACAGAGCCTTATAAATCTTTTCTGTTTCTTGCAGGGAGGAAAAAAGCAGAAATTTGGCTCCTTGGAAATGCCGATTAAACAGCAAACAAAAAAGCAGCAAAAGGGCAACCTCCACAGGGGTGGTTATTTGCATTGAGGAAGCTTTTGCTGGGGGTTTCCCTTTGCTTCTGGTCAGAAGACAGTTTTGATGAGGCTGAACTTTGTGTATTGAATTTGGAATGAGTAATACAGGCAGATTGTGTGCCCAGTGGGAGACTAGAAACTTTTGTATTAACATTTACTTTGAAAAGAGTTTGCAGAAAGGTAACATACTTTGTCAGCTGCAGAAAATAACATCACTGATAATGCCATGAACAGGCTTCTGACAGAGCTATAAACACTGAGACAGAAATTTAGGGTGTTTTTTAAAGGTATCAGCTGTGAATTCCCAGCCTCAGGGTGAGTCATTTAGACCAGATGCAGCATTTCAAGGAAACATTTCTAGTGAAGTGACTAAATAGTTGGAAAAGGCCCAACTGCAATGCATTCATAGGCATCCCATGGGTCAGGTGAAAGAATCTGTTTCTTAGAGACACCTGGGCAGGTGGTATTCGCAGATGATGTAGAGACAAAGGCCAAAGGAGATGGAGTTGCCCAAATAGAGGGAAGCTGCATCCAGGAAAGCAGGAGCTACAGAGATGTCGGCACCCAACAACTGGAGTGACACATGTGAAGAGCTGTCCAGGCTCTCTGCAGAAATTAACAGCTGAAGAGTTGTGATTTGGTGAAAATATGATCCATGGAAAATACTTAGGAGGCTGAAAGGGAAGGAAATGTACTGCCTGAATAACACCAGGAGCTACTAATGACCGGCTAATGCAAAGGCCAAAAGAAATTCATCATCCATCAGCTTCAGGGAGTGTGAAAACTCAGTGGATTATGTTGTGTGATCGGTATTTCTATTGCTATTGCACTGGGAATTGCCTTCATGTAGGGACCCTGGAGGGGTTCTGGGCTACTGAAGCGAGTAAATGTGCTCTGGAGCAGAACTGAGCCCCTCTACAGAGAGCTGGCAGGAAGAAATGTGGCTCCAGGGAGTTCTTTGGGCTTCAAGTGCTTCTAGAATGAGTATGGAGTGACAAAGATTAATTGCTCCCTGTGACAGTTCTAAACTAGGCCACTGTGCAATAGTTTGCCTTCGTAAACCTGTTGGAGTATTTGAAACTACAGCTGTGCCATCGGGTTTCCTCTTTGTCGGGATGCTGCCTTATGCGGTATCAAAAGTTGAGCTCTAAGTAAGAACAAAAAAAGAGATTGACATTACCAGACTCTAAGGACAACAGCCAAACATTTCACAGCATGTCATGGCAAAGAAGTGTGAAATATCCCGCTTTGCCCAGGTATTAGGGAAATATTCACAGAAGACAAAGAATAGAAGCTATTGCTCTAATATAACCCATTTACCTTAAATTTGCAAGGATTTGAGCAATGCAACTGGGTGTACTATCAGGTGACATACCACAATGTGCCTTTGCTTTTTTTTTTTCGTGTCACAGTGGATAACTGTGAGGTTCTACATTGGGTGGTGGAAAATGGCCTGACCACAGCTACATCATCTTGAACTTCCCATACTGGAACTATTAAAAAAATCCTACTCAGCAGCTTCCTGAACAACTGAGCCAAAGCTTTGCAATAATTGTAAGAAATGTAATTCCAAATAGCAGCAAACTTTCCTGCAGTCAAGAGCTGAATGTGTTATTGGTTTTGACCGGGAGTCTGCATCATCCAGTTACACTGACACTGACAGATTAAGACAGAGCACAAACCACCACAAGGTCTGCAGAGTACCTTTCATATTCATGCATACACCAGAGATATTTCAGAGGATGAGAAATTATCTAATTTAAGAGACAAAATCTGAAGATACCCAAGAAAACCCATAGGAGGAAGATCCAGCCTAGGCCAAAAGGTCTCTGAAGCTTTTTTAGAAGATTAGCTAAGAAGGTTTAACTCTCTGGGGATGTCAGTGGCTTCTGCACGGAAACTTTAAAGAGACAAATTGCACACGATGGATAGACCTGGACAGCAGAACAAATATTTCTGTCTCACTGATAATCTAGAATGAAGAATGTGGGGTATCTCCCAGACTTGAGCAGGCAGTCTCATGCTGGAGCCTGCAAGGACTGCTGGGCTTCCTGCAACCATGGAAATTACAATAGTGATCAAACTGCTAATGCTTTCAAATTCTTGCTGAACAAAATAGGGAAAAGTTGCAGAGAGCACCTGGCAGTGATGCTGTATGGTTCTCTGTGTGGGAAATTGCTGTGTTTGTATGATATTACACTTTTTTGTGTTTGATGGGTAAGGAGAGGCAAAATGAAGTTGGGCCAGAGCTCTTACTCAAAGTGCTCCTCTAAGTTTTAGACTTCTTTGTGTGAATAAAAAAATAACATCGTAGAAGAAAGCTTTACATAGATAAAACTATGCCTGTAATAAAGTCTTCATCCTAAGATATTTACTTTATTCCACATCTGATCCCAGATGAATGAAAAAAGCAACAACAGGAATTTCACAGTACCCCACCCAGACTTTCTTCAAGACTAGCTCTATAAACTATAGGATCTGTGCGTGCTGGGATTATACTGTTTGATCATAAAGCTGCACAGACCAAAAAGAAAAAAAATAAGTTCAGACTAAAAATTCGCATTGCTGTATAAACAAAAACCAGCTACCACTTGTTCAGTGGGACAGCAACACATCTGGTCTCCAATCCTGTAACTGCCTGGCTGAACAGGGCTTGGGAGCACTGAGGAGCTACCACTGCCTAGGAGGAAGGGAGTGCCCAGTATTAGTCACCAGAAACCAGGTCTGAATCATTTCATGGAGTTCTGATTCAGCAAGTTAAACATTGGTGAGAAACAGGAGATGAGTCCTCAGCATTCTGCACTGAAGCAGACAACTGCTGGGAAACCCAGGAGGAGACCAATGACATGACTCCAGAGATGCAGCAGGACCTGGGACTGAGATGGGCCACCCAGCTCTTCATGGGCTTGGACCCAGGCATGAGACATTGGTGTGCTGGGGGAAGGATGTCCTGTCTCTGCGGACAGCAGCGATGACAAGAGGTGTATGAGGTGGCCCTAGCAGACCATGGCCATGTCCAGAGTTTGCTTTTCCCCATCTAGTTTTGCTCACCCCAAGCAGACAATATGAAGGCTTACACTTAGGCCTCCTGTGCCCAAGAATGACTGCCCACAATTACGCAAAGCAAATGTGCATTTGGAGAATGCCACATCAGCAGTCCTCCTCGGGCGTGAGGAGGATTAGTGCCAGCCCTGTATGATGTTTACATAAGAGGATTTGATCTATGCTTCCTAGTGTGATTCACAGGGCTCTGCCTTGCTGGAGTAGCTAAAAGTTAATTCCTCTTGCTTCTGTACTTGGCCCTGGTACTCTGCTTTCTACAGCAACTGCACTGGTAACAGTAACATTGCAGCAGGTGTTATGGTCCAATTTTAACACAGATATTGTTGATTGGCATTTTTGTTTCTCCACATATTTTTTCCGATTGTACTTTTTGAGCCTACAAACTTATTTTTCAACTGCAAATCCTGCTTTCTTTATTTAGATGAAAACCAGAACACTAACATTTAGAAATACAAGGTTGCCAGCACCGTTTAAACACCCTTCCTTAAATACATAGGTTTGGAAAAACAAAACTGGTGCCTCTGTACTTTGACGAGCTAAAAATGACACTGGTTTCAAAGATATGGAGCATAAAAAGAAATTAAATGTTAAACTATAAATAACTCAGTTTTCACTTGGGCTCCAGCAACTTGCACAGCTTTCTATACAGGTAGTCACTACGGCACCAACTTATTTATCAATCACAAAATGTAGTAATTCAATCACAAAATTGAGAATTTCACAGAATGTCACTGTAGCACTACATTTTTTGTTTGTTTGTTTATTAGGGATAATAGTTTCAAAAATATGCTTTCTCATATATTTTCTTATAAATTTATAGGTTTTCTATTCAAAGCCTTGGTATTCCCTCTTCCTGCCGTTCGATCAATGTACCCATTTTGTATCTGTTTTCTACCTTTAACTAGTTCACAAGACTCTAACACAAGAATCCGAGAAAGCTTCACTTACCAAAATTTTTAAGTGATTTGATTTCCCTATACTTTAGGAGCGATGTGCAGGTAAACCAGAAGGCATAGTAAATAATCATGTTTTGAGCAGGATCAAGAGTTTAATACTTGAAAGTTCTGGACATGACCAGATCTCATTCGGCTCAGACTCAGTTATGATACTGAATCATCTCTATCTGGTATGACTGCTGCTATGCAACATTTTCATGAAGCTTTTATGTTAAAATGCAGATTTTTGCAGCTAACTTACCTTGGGTTGTTCTTCCTGTTGCAGATTGTTTTTTGTTTTGTTTAATTTTTAAGTGTGGGGTGGCTTTCTGGATACTTCCAATACCAGCAGATGTTGCTTAAGGAAGAAGCTGAACTCCCTAGATCCATCTGGTGTCATTTGCCCACATGGTTCCCTGGGGATGTTTCTCTTATTAGTGTTTCCATGAAAGCAGCTACACAATCCCCAGCCAGAAAGTCCCCTTGGCTGCTTTTCATCCAGTCCCTTTCTTCTGACACATCCAGCTTTGGTGGGCTACAAGGAGTCAGGCCTCCTCCTGGAAGAGCTATTGAGTTTACTTGAGACACTCATGCAATCATGCTGTGTCAAAGTACAACTAGAAGCAAAGGAATGTTGGCAAGAGAAAATTATGTATAAGCTATGATTAAGACATTAACAGAACCATAATTTATTACTCAATTTTCTATCACAGCAACCAAGATCAAAGGTTTTGCCTTTTATTCCCCTATGAAAACCTTATCTGGATCAAGCTGAGTCATAGTATTCAGTTTTTCTGTGGAACTCTCTCCTACATGGGTTTTTCAGGAACTTGCAAATGTACTTTCTCTCTATGACCATCTCCTCCCCATTCGCCACCTAAATCATTTATGCACATATAAGTCTGTATTTCATTCCTTACTCTTTGTTTTGGAGCCACAAGAAACCCATTTGTTATTGAAAAGCTTAATTTCATTTCAAAGTAATTTTAAATATGTCAGCTTAGAGCTGCTCTGATTTTAATTTTTTCTTCATTTGGTTTCAATATATTGTCATTTTTACATTTTACTTGAACAATTCAAAGGGATTATATACTATGAAACGTGAAATTATATGCTAAGAGTGTTGTTGTCACAGGAACAGTTTGCTTCCACTGCACAGTGACTAGCAACTCACTGTATCTGTGTACGACTGCTGCAGTAGCTGTGTGGGAGCTGACTACTGCAACTCACGAAAAGTGCCCGTGCAGGGTGGTGCATGCAGCTGCTTACAGTCTGAGCCAGATGGATGTTATCCAGACTGGTCTGTGTATCAGGTAACTGCACTTACCAAAAGCTCAGAGCTGTGTTGATAAGTCCTGCAGAGAGAACAGTTATGGTAAATACAAGCACAGTGTCACAATGCTGTGGTTTCAGTTTTCATATCAGAGCTGGCCTGCAGCCTGGTAGCTCAAAGTATAAGAGCAGGCAAGCAACTCTCCACACTCATCCATCTAGACATAACCCCTGAGGTATGTAGAAGGTCTTTTAATATTCCAGAGAGGGCATCAGTTCCCAAATGCTCTGTCTTCTCTGGGTTCTTAGTTCTCTCTGTTAACAAAATTCCACCTCCACCCTGATGTGTGCCCAGACATCTATACCTCAGTTTGGACAGGCAACGCTGACAGCTCTTGTGTTGCTGATGGGAAAGCAGCACCTGGAAGGAGAGCAGCAGGTTCTTATTAAAAACAAATTTCTTCAAGAAAATCAACTAGTTACTCAGGAGCCTCAACTCAGGCTTCCTTAGCCCTCCAACCTACTACAGCGCCTCATCCAAGGCAGCACTTCATCTTTTGAATCTTTTAGTACTCTAGTGTATAATAAAAGACTGCAATATCTCATACTCAGCCATATTTCAACTTTTGCAGACTGGGATTTGATAGACACTAGATAAAATTTTACAGGACAGTACAACATGCTAGCCCAGTTAGAATGAGCTGGCATTGGGAACTGCAGCAAATTCCTAAAGTACTGGCTATATCCCATTTGCAGAACTGCTCAGCCCCATGCTGTTACTTAAGCATCTGGCAGGAGCTGTGTTACTCCTGTCCTGCTCAGCCGGTGCCATTTCTCTTTTTTTTCTGCCCTGACAGATCTGGTATCTCCTCTGAAGAGCGAAAGAGAGGAGACAACACTTACGAGCTCTGTACCTCATCTTCTCTGTTTCCCCCAGAGCCTTATAGCACAAAAAAATACTGCACAGCAAATTTTAAAAGAAAATGAAGCGATCACGAACAAACATGGAAGCTGAGGGAATACAGCCTTGAATGATCATACTAGTACAGTCTATACTGGGGCTAACCCTCACCGATAAATATCTCTGTAGTGCTTCTTGGGAGCCTTTATTTCTCAGTGTGAGAGATGAGCTAATAGGCACTTGGAGGCATGCTAAAGTGATGTCAATCAGTCCACAGCAATAAAATATCAGGGAAGATCTTTCTAAACCTACAAAGCTGCACCATAAGAGCCTTTGGTCTCATCTTTTTTTTTCTCTTTTACATGCAGAACTGAAAGAGACGCTTAACCCACAGCAGCAAAGGGGAAGTCACAACAGTGAAGAGCCATCATTTATACAATCCAACCCAGAAATAGAAATGAAAGAGAAAACCAAAGAGCAAAAGAGAAGTGCATATCAGAGAAGCTGTACACAGAATGACAGTACTAATGTTAACATAGGCTACCTGAAAGGACAGGAAAATCCAGACATCCCCTTACTCATACTTCATATCATAGAGCATATAACTGAGTTAAGATGGAGAAAATATCTAGAGCTGTCTGAAGGGCAATGAGAAGAAGCTAATCATCAAACTCCTCAAGCTCTTCCAGAAGAGAGATTTTAAAGACAGAGAAGACACACCACATGCACAGAAAGCAGGAAGAAACAGATGGAACTGTTTTCAAATCGTAAGGCAATTAATCAAATTCTACCACCAGAATTTCACCCTGCCTCATCTTGCAAGTTGATCTCCATGTGCAGATGTCTCTGACATTGGTCTCCTTCTTTGAGGATCAGGGGCCCAGGCATGAACCAGAAACCACAGTGGCTGATGTGTGCTCCCTTTGCGTGCTTCCTCTATTGTTCTGTTCAGCTTGTGCGTTGAAATTAACAGCACCTCATAAAAAATGCCTCCTTATGACATAGGTTCCACATGCATTGGTGGTAATCTGGGACTGAATAAACTCTGGCCAAGAATTTCAGATGGAGGTGTCTGTGGCTGAGCTTCTGAATCTGCATGGAGACAACTGGATAAACAATCAAGCATACTGATGATTTTAAAATTGCCATGAAAATCAGTTGCACCTCACCAGTCTGAGTATTACTTAACATCTTTTCACCTACACACAGAAACACTTTGGCACTGGCACATCATTGCAATGCAGTTGGATGTTCTCATCAGAAAAGATACACATAGCTGAGTTTATCACCATTTTTGGTAGAATCCCATTTAACTGAAAGAACAGGTTTTCAATGAAGTTTCAACACTCAGAAAACCTATAGGAACATAAGGATACAGTTCTGTGTATCTTTGGGCAGAACAAGGTATTGGTTCATCTATTCTTTGTTCAGGCCCATTCCTTTTCTATTTCTTCCTCCTTTCTCTGTCTTTCTAATCAATCAGTAGATTCATTCTGCAGTCATGGATGCTTCAGCATGAGATGCCTCCTCTAAAAGCAGAAAATTTAACACATGGGATTTACCACAAAATGAGCAGATACACAGATACCCAGCATGATTCTGTGGGTATACCATACCACACTTATACCATGTCAGCAGTCTTGGATTTCTACCAGACTATGGTTGAGAGAAGCGCCGTGTTAGGAAGTTCCAGCTTTGCTGAATTAATGTGGAGTATGGGTAGAATAAATATCACACACCTTGCTGTCACACCAAAATATCTATCCATTACACCAGAAACTGCCAGGCTGCCAAACATTGGAGAAGGCAGTAATACTGTGCTGACAGCAAAATAGGGCTGAATTGCTGCACCCTCGGGGAATGAATCTGGAAAGTCTGGAGCATACTAGCATGGAATCTAAACAACATATGGGAGAACAGGAGCAGTTCCCTTCACTGGCAGTACTCTTATGCACAAGCTAACCTGGTGGTTGTGGTGGGATTGAGACCTTTGTGTCCTATCCCCCAAGTTCTCTATGACCCAGTGCACAACACTGAATGGGACAGGGCATAAGGATACTGCAAATGCACTAGGTCAAGTAACACTGGTCTGTCATTCACGTCATAGCACTATACTACAGCCACACAACACCCATTTCTAGCCAGCCTCCTCCATGGTTTCACCTTTTATATATCAAACCTGTATGCTGATCACAACTAATTAGGTCACCCAAGATCAGATCAGTCCACTCTGCCTGGTGCCAGGATCACAGTAGGAGAGAGGGACAATTATATGGCAATTGCATGACACTGATGTAGGGAAACCTGAAGTGATGGTCAAATGAATGAGGCCAGTACTTATTTCATGCATCTTTCCAGGCATGTATCCACAGCAGAAGTTCACACTGCAGCTCACAGTAGTGATACTACAGATAGCACTATTGCCACCAAAATACTGCATCCTTGCTTTTATTAGAGGGAACTGGTAAACCACATGGCAAAGCTGAAAGCAGGCTCTCACTGGGCAAAGGTGTATCCTAAATTACAAGCCCAATCAAAAGTCATCATCCCTTTCTCTGAGAAAGTAACTTCTGGATTGTTACATTTAATTCCTAAAATGTAAAATTCTTACAGAAATTGAGGATATTTTTTCCTACTGGGTTAACAAAAAGCATATGATGATGAGTGGTTAAGCAAACAGAAAATCAATGTAAAACAAATAATAAAACCCCCCAAATTTACCCCTGTTTATCTTGAAAATATTCACTGAGTAAAAAGTAGCTAGGGTTTGCTGAAAATAAATCTTGTAGACAATCCTGAAATATTAAAATCCAAATATATCATATCTCCTCTGTTTTCTTCATGCAAAAGTTTTGCAATGCTACGAATGTTGGAAACAAAGCCCTCCAGTGACTTTGAGCTGGCATGGAAAATGAAACAGCAGGAGAGTCCTGAGCCACTAGTGCTCAATGCAGGGTTGCCTTCAGCACACAGGTCCAGTATCAGCAAGTAAAAGACACACCACAGATCCAGGGTAGTAAACCCTGTTTTAGGGTGCTCAAAAACACAGCCAAGTGATGCAGAGCACTGATGTGATGCAAAGTCATTTTGGCAGCTCAAGCTTATTGAAACTTTTCCAAAAGGACAACTTTTCCCTAGCAGACTCAGTGCTGGTATGTGCATTGTTTCTGTGTCATCCATCATAACACGGAGGCAAATGAAGCAATTTAAGGAGCAACAGAAAGAATTATCTGGAAGAGTGGTTTTATAGAGAAGGGTTAAAAGAGCTTAATACATCCAGTTCTGTTAAAGCAGAGGCACATGGAGACGTGTCTCCAGCCAGCAAATACTTAAGTAATGCAAACCTTAAGGATGGAGAGGAAATACTTGGGCTTCTACATATGGGAACAAGTAGTAGTAAATGAAAAGAGGGTGGGGAAAGACCAAATGTCAGAAAATCTTATTGGCAGTGAAGAGCAGAGCTTGTGCAAATTTTTCAGAGGAATTCTTTTAGTTATTTAAAAAATAATTTGAAACATACTAATAAACAAGCTAAGGAAAGTTGATTGGATTACCTAACAGCCTTATCTCTCCCCATTTCTTTCTTTGCTTCATTTATTTTCTACCAAGTAATCATGTATAACATTTGGTAAAAGCAAAGAGAAAGTAACCCAAGGTACATTCATGACCTCAATCTCAATGTTGATTTAAGAGACTCTATTTCCCACTGTGAGTTCATGCCATCTCCGCAGAACAGGAGAAATAGACCTCACAAAAATTTCTCATTTATTCAAGTGCAACATCACCTGGATTTGATCAGTGTCCCACAGAAGAGGTAACTCCGTGCAGGAGAGAGACAAGGTGGTTCAAACAATGGATTATTGCTTTTGGAGTCAGTCAGGCAGATCACCTCTACTGAGTACCAGCAGTTGAAGAGGTTACTAACCACACTGTGGTAACTAACCACACTGACACTCTCCCAGGAATTTTTGTCTCCATATCAAAGGTGGCAGAAAACCACACATCTGTATTTTAGGAGTTCTGGTTCCCTGCCCAGAAAAAAAAAAAAAAAAAAAAAAAGAGTATAAACTATCCACAAAGGTAACTTGCACGATAATTGAAAGCTGGCACTTTGGTGTGCTTTAGGAGGAATGTTTTAAACTATCACACCTCAGTAAATGTAGCAGTCTTTAGGTACAAACCTTTTCACTGAAGGTAGGCAAGGCTGAAGGTGGACTGACCATAGCTCTTCTGGTGTTAAATTTACTCTATTCTAGCCGTCATGCTGACAAAGCTGAGAATGGCTGCAGGAATCAGAGTACAGCTCCCTATTTGAAAGTCTTTCTGATGTGTTCTCCAGTAGAACTGGGCATTTCTTCATCTAACAAGTTGGTTGTTGAACTTCAGTGTCTCAGTATTTATGCAATTTCTGTTTATCAACACAACTAGATTTCTATAAGAACTGTATTCTACACCTTGTCATAGTTAATTGTAAGAAGATTTTTTTCAGTATAGAAATTACTTTTTAAAAATTGTTCAATAGGCTCAAGCAATACTGCAATACCCAAGTGTTAATATTTATATGTGCTGCATGCATAAACCAAGCAACTTGAAGAGTCTCAAACATGTATGAAACAATATAACCCAGACTAAATCAGAAATAAATTAATGGAATGCTTTTTGCTTTATCATTTACAGACATTGGACCATATTGTATTGGTTTTTCCTGCACAGAAAACAATGGGAGTTCTGGACAAAGATGAAAAGGAGAATGTGTACTATGACCTGTTTGTTTTCTACTCATATCTTTTTCAAAAGACGGTCTGTGTTTCAAACAAATAAAAACTTCCCATATTTTAATGTTGTAAAGTTTAAGATTAATAGATACCATAATGGTAGGACTCATGGTTCTTCTCTCATGTATATTATGGCCTTTTTTAATAGCATAGTTGGCATTTCCATTTTTACTCTAAGGTAGATGTCGCCATCCTTACATCTTAGTTTCATTAGAGTTCCCATTCATTTCAGCGGGTAGGATGCTCTACAGCGTGAATTACAACGTCTGGAGGCTTGGTTGTGCAACACTGGCTTTGAAAGACGAGAAATAGGAAGGAGCTGACTTCTTTTTCCAGAAGAGTAATGCATGTACAGCAGAAGCCTAGTTCGGATGTAAAATCAAGATCATACCGGGTCCACTGTAATAAAGATGCAGCATTAATTGCTGTTTGTCTTTCTCAGTTCTTAGGTTTGATCATGCTCTTTGATGTACATACTTATCCCCCACAGAAGTCAAAGTGTGGACTTCTGCTCACAGCAGTAATCAGGCTTTATATGTGGTTTTGGTGGTTCTGATAACTGTTGACAGAGATTCATGCTCATAAGTCACTGATTGGTGTGTACCCATTTTCTATGCAGTAGTTAAAAGACTATGCAACTTTGAAAGATTAGTAATTACAGAGAAGCACTTAACTTGATTCCTCCTCCTATGTCTTCAGGAAGTGACCACTGTTCCTGGGAAAGGTTTCGACCCAGTGTTTCCAACTTTCCATTTCACTCTTAAAAATAAACCTCATTGATGCTGTGGCCATAGTTCAACAAAACAGCTGTATCCAGACTTTCAAGGTGTCTTTGGGGAGTTCTAAGAAAAAAGAACAGTGCGTGTTAATTTTGTGCAAGAGCCATAGCAATACTATTTTAGTTAGGTTGTTAGTCAGGCCTTTAGAGACTCTGGGTTTATTACACTACCCAAGTCTTTTATGCTGTTCTGACAGCTGAAACTCAATGACACCTTCAGCCACTTCAAAACAAATGTGACATGTTGATCAGGTAGGGAAATGAGCTAAGGAATAGCACATGGGTGCATACTGTTTTTTTATTCTAAAAATCTAAGGCTTTTCTTCACTAAACAGAGACTATTTGTGCTATAGACTTTTCCTTTTAACGCTTTATCCAAGATGCCTTTGGCACTGTAAGTCCTGATCTTGGACAGGCAATACCCAATTCATATCTCTCACTGGGAGCCATGGCACACCTGGTATCACAGGTCCTGTCAGGACGGGTTCCATGGACCCATCTCCCAGCACAACATCCTCTTGACAGACACCAACCTCACACGTTTAACAGCTTGCCTTCTCCCCATCGCAAATTTCCTCCATGCATTCACAAAGGCCTTATGGCCACTCGTGTCCCTCAAAGGCATAGTGCGTACACGTCTTCCCTCAGCAACGGCAGGCGCGCGCTATCACGCCCTGGCTCCAGCACAGGCCTCACACCGCGCCTCAGGCGGGCAAAACCTCCCTCTCCTCCAGTTCTATTGCTGCCGAGGGTGCTGCACCGACAGGCCAGGCCCAGCAGCGGGGGAAGGGAGCGGATTTCCTCACGGGGAGGGCTGCCGACACCCCCGCTCCGCAACACCCTGGGCTTCCAGCAAGGAAGACAGGACACGGGAAATGGGCAGAAACACCGAAGAGAAACACCCCCGCCCCCCAGCGAGGCCGCCGCGCACAGAGACAACGGCTCGGCGCCCGCCCGCCACCATCTTGGACGCGGGCAGGAGGAACGCCGACAGCCTCCGCAGGGAAACAACAACAGCGTCACCACAGCCCTCCCGGCGACGGAGAGAGAGCGCTAAGGAGGTGGGCTGACCCCGCCGCGAACAGCCGGCGTTTACAAAAGACCTAATGTCGCGTTTAAGAAGCAAAAAATAAAACAAAAAATTAAAAAAAATTAAACCAAAACAAGCCGGTCACCAGCCCCCTGCCTAGACCAGGGGGAAAGTGAGGCCGCCTTGCCCACACTTAAAATGGCACCTGCTCTGCGCCCTCGCCTGGCCGGGGGCGGGGCCTCCCCGGGGGGCGGGGCGGCCCCCTCTCCATCCCCCGCCCGGGACACGCGCGTCAGGAGCCGCAGCGCGCGCGCTCGCGGGGGTGCTCGCCCGGCCCCGCCCCTCCCCGAGCTCCTCCGCGCGCGCGCCGCGGCCCGGCCGGAGCAGACGCGGACACGGACACCCGGCGCACCCGTAGCGCCGGCGGCAGCGCGATGACGGCGGCGCCCGGCTGCCCCCGCTGCTCCCTGCGCTGCCTCCGCTGCTCCCCCGGCGGCTGCCCCTTCCCCCGCGCCGGCGGCTGGACGGCCGCCTGGCGGGGCGCGGCGCTGCGCTTCGCGCTGGCGCTGCTCCTCCACACGGCGCGGGCCGAGAAGGAAGGTGAGACCCAGATTTCCCTTCCCTTTCTTGTCCCCCTTCCCCCCGCTTCTCCTCCCCTCCCTCCGGTGGCGGCGGGGCCGTTGGCGGCCGTGGCCCGCGCCCGCTCCCGGGCGACGGCGGCGGGGTGGGGGGAGGCGGCCGGGAAGGCGCCCCGGGGTCGCCGCCCCTTGTCCCGCATCCCGCCGGCTCCCGCATCCCGCCGGCTCTCGCTGCCCTGGGTGTGCAGGGAGTCGCGCCGCTGCGTCCCCCGCCCGGCTGGCAGGGTGCGGGTGTGTGCGTGTCTCTGTGTGTCTGTGTGTGTCGCTGACGTTTGGCAGGGGTTTCTCCTCCCCTGACAGCGGCGGGGATGGAGCTGGAGCTGCCCTTTAAACAGAGGAAAAGGGAAAGAAAGAAGTTTAAAAAAAAAAAAAAATAGGAGGCTTTCTCGCACTGAGCTGGTTTCCCTGCGGCAGGCTTCCAGCGGGAGACCGAGCCAAGCCAAACAGACGGGCGAAGCTGCATGAGAAAGTGCAGAAATGTGCGCTTTTGCATAGGTTGGATTTTGATCTCTCACCAAATGACAACGGGGCCCCCCTTCGCCTCCCCGAACTTTTGAGAGGTGTCCGGCGCCTTCGCGGGATCGATGGCCTTTTCTCCAAACTTTATAAAGTCCCCGTCTGACTTTCCCTAACTCGCAGTGTCTGTGATTTTGGCACGCTGTCTTTTCATTGTGGTTTAGCAAGGAAAAAAAGCCCGGAGCGAAACACCTAAGTATATTCTGTAGCATTGCTGAGAACGGCTTTCGAGCATTTCCAAGGTGCGGACTCGTGGTCTACTTGAAAGCATTGCTGTTTGGTAGCATTAAAAAGCAGCAGGTAAATATAATGTATTGCAGAAGTAGACGAAACAGATTTACTTTGGCTGGACAAGAGAATTTGCTTTTCAGGCAAGTTGCTGCACTGGAGGAGGCAGGAGTTTGAGGACTGAGAGGAAGAAACAGAATAAAAAGAATAAGAAGGGTATGGAATAGAAGTTTAGTGAGGAGACTAGTTATGTGTCTAGAGCAGACTTGAGGGAAGAAATGCATCCTAATAATGCACGTATAAGAATAAACGTAGATACGCGTTTCTAGTGAAGGACTCAGTTCCAGTAATTTCCAAGTAGCTTGTTTTTACAAATAGGATAATGTTGCTTAGAAAGTGATTAAAACCCCCCAATTTTGGTTGTTGCACATCCACTGTTCACTTGACTTTGTCTTCAGAGAATGTAACGTTTAGATAACAGCACGAATATGATACCAGGTCTTTAGAATGATGAGAATGCGTGAGTTTGTCAGTGTGGCCTGTAGTGTCTTGAGATACTAAAAGAGTTCAAATGCTTGAGGAATTCCTATTTTTAACTCTATTTGTGATTGCATTCCTTCACAGGTAATAGGTTATATGAGTTTATAAGCTTTGTCAGTGATGTCATATACTGGTATGATGGAATTGATTCATGCCCTAAAAGTTTTGATGGCTGGGGCCATGGTCTTGTTTGGTTCATTTCTGAAGAAGATACAGGGTTTTTTTTCTCTATGGACTTCTTTGCCATTCCTAAATAAACAAAAACAGTTTTAGATTCACAGAGTTTGAACAGATATGATTGACGCCCTTCAAGAGAAGTGAATAGTTTGCACTGATACCATTTCGTTTTGTTGATACAGTCTATTACTTAAAACTTATCCCAGCAATACTTCTGTCATTTTCAAAAAGTGAATTTGTTTCTCAAGTAAAACACGGTTTTCTTTTAGTCTTTTCAGATTTCTCACACTCATTTTTCTTCCCATCTGTTCTGCTGCATTTAGGGTTACTAGTAAGTCTTGCTTTGGTGTTTTGGGTTTTTGTGTTTTATTTTGGGTTTTTTTTAAATTCATCTTTTATTGACTTCTTAAGAGTTCATTCGCAAGCTGGGTTTGTGGATGGCACGTTAGAAAGTGTTGTCTTGCAGTCTTCCTTTTGCTGAGTGCAATGCCTGTTTAAACCCTGGATTAAAAAAACCAAACCAAAACAAAAACCAAACAACAGTTTTAAAGCAAGACAAAGATAAAAGGGACTTGAGATCCAGTCCCATTGATCTTAAGCTACAAACTAAGTACCAGTCTGCAAGAGACAGTAAATGAGCACAGGAGAGGAAGAATCAGCTTGGACAGTGGGCCTTTAGACCAAGATGGGAGCTCAAAATTAAACAGCAGTTGAGAAAAAAGGAGGGGAGAGTGTTTCAGGCTCTGTCCTTCAGTGCCTTAGCTTTTACCAGTTTGTGTCAAGTTAAACGTAGTAAGACAGAGTTTAAAAATAATAATCAGGAAGCAGGGAAGTAGCTAGGAGTATCCTTTCCATCTTCCAGATGTGGGCATACATGTTTCACTACAGCTGCAGGAAGGAAGCTGTGGAGAGGGATTAGAGCTGAGTGCTCCTGAGGACTGCTGAGTTGAAGGTGGCTGTAGTAAAACAGTGCAGTATATATTCCAGAGGATTTGCTGCAGAAAAAAAGCTGATAAGAAGCAGGTGTCAGATGAATGACAATTGCGTGAGAAGAACAGATCAGCATATGACAAAGTAAAGTGAAAAATGAAGGTGGAGGACACTGTTTTCCTCTTACCTTGCATGTACATGAGGGGGAACTGGAGGAAGGATGGAGCTGATGCACTGAAGAGTATGCTGGCTTCGTGCTTCTATGGAGAAGGAGCAGCAAGCAGTTTTTCATGGAGCTGTCATGAGTAGAAACAAGATTGATGCTGGAGTGTTCCAGATAGACATGACTGCTTTTGTACCCAGTCTTAGTTAAGAAGTTTGAGGGGAAAAATGTAACATAAACAGCTTTGCCTAGCAGCAAAAAGCAAAACTGAAGTCCTTTGAGTGTTCAAGCTGTAAATCAAAGTCTTGAGGAACAGTGACATTGCTGTACGCTCTCTGTTCTATAGAAATAGAACTTCTGAAAACTATCTGGTGTCTGAATAGATACGAGAGCAGAGAAAACTGCTTATGGACCAGCCAAAAAAACTTAAACATCATTTTCAAACTAAACACTGAGTTGTGACTTTACTTTTTTTGTGCCTAGCTGGATCCTTAGTGCCCATGTATTGCTGAGGAATGAGTAAGACTGAGACGGTTGTAAAATTTTTTGTTTGTTTTTTATTTTTTCACTTAGGAAATCTGTGAACCACAGCAGAAGAATATCATGGCAGGGAAAAATTTCTGCATTCAGTCTGAAAGAGACTCTTGCTGTTTAGGAGGGGCAAAGATAACTTAGGAGTTTCTTTTGCAAATATGTGTGATTTTCAGGCTTTTCATAGGCTTATCCTTTCCTAGTGTAATTATCACATTTTGTATTGACACATGGATTGAGGACAGCTTTCAGTTTATATTTGAGCATGTGTGGTTTTTGTTTGGGGTTTTGTTTGTTTGGTTTGGTTGGTGTTGGTTTGGGGAGGGACGGGACACACAACGTACACACAACAGCCTTCTGGGTTTTAGGTTGAAGGAAGCCATAGTAATGCCATAACCCCATAACCCTGTGGTCAGTAAAATGTTTTGAAGACAAATGTCTAACATGAGGATGCTTTTTTTACAACCAATTTTTTTTTAAATCCCTTTTTATTTGGCCAGCTGACTGAAAGCCTGTTGAGACTATTTTGATAGCTCTCTTACCTACCCATCTGTTCACAAGATACGTGCAAATAGAGTAAGGTTAATATTTAGGCTAGGTTAAATCCCCAGCTGTAATATTTGAAGTTATGTCTTAGTGCTGGATCTGGCAAACATTTGTATTTAAACATCAAAGTTGTGATACCAGATAGGTCAGTGAAAATAGGATTTTTTTTTTCCCCTAAAACTTGATGTATTGTCTGCTAGCATTCTAGAAACTAAGGTAGTTATGGAGTGTAAGTAATGGGTAAAATAATCATGAAGTTGAAGGGAGATGTCATTAGAACAGTGCACTGGGATGCTGGAGTTCTGGTTCCATTTTTGTCATTCTTTCTAATCTCAGTCGAGTAATTTCCTTTTTGGTTTTTACTAATATCTAAAATAGCAATCCAGGATACTTCACATGAGTGTGAAAAGCAGACTAGTGCTGGAAGGTGATATGGGAGAAAGCTTACAAGTTTAAAATAACATAAGAGTATCTTCACATATACAGTTTGTTTGTTGTATCCTGCTGTCAGAACCAATCTATAGCATGCCCCCATTTACTTTAATGCTTATGTTTTGACCCTGACTTAAATCAAAATATGATGCAAAAAAGAATGACCTCAATCAAACTGAAAACACTCTAGCAGCTGAGGTAGCACATGAAAATCATGAACAGTGTGAGGAAAACAACACAGTGAATAAAAACTGACCGTGCTATCTCACTGGGGTTTTGAAACTTGAATGTGGGAAGGCTGATTAGGTTTGCACTGTGACTTTGCTCGTGAATGAAAAATATTAACTATGTGCTTGGATTGAACAGTCTCATACTTGTTTGCAAAATCTTTGGACTAAATTAAAGGAAAAATTGTCATGCAATGGACAGGAAGT